CTATTTAAAAATTATTTTCAGTTATTAAATTTTTCAGTTATGTAAATTTATTTTCAGTTATTTAAACTTTTATATTGGATCATATATCACTCAAAACAATTCTTTACAGTTTATTTATTTATTTATGTATTTATTTGAAATTGGAGAAACAGCAGATGTGTTGAAAGGAAAAGTGTTTTGGAATCAGAGAGACGAGACATTAAATTCTACCTCTGATGACTACTTGCTGTGTGAACTGGGTCACATCTCTCTGGACCTCAGTTTCTTCATGTGTAACATAAGGATAATAATTTTTATCTCACTGAATTAAATGTGACCATGGATGAAACACCTGGTATGTAGTAAACACTCAACTTTTAAAACCTCTATATTTTCTGAATATAGGCACGTAGGAAGTGTGAATGGTTGATATTTCGTGGTTATAAGGCCATAGAGCTATTATCAATTATAAACAATTTTAATTGATGCTATTTTTACAGTGCCGCCACTACCCTAGATTTGTTTCTTTTTAATGTATGTGTGTGTCTCTAGTAGGAATATTACTAATACACTTAAATGCCATTTTCACTGAAAATGTTGGTGTTTAACCACAAGTATGTAAGATCAGTAGGATTCCTGCCTGGATTCAGATGGATTCATTACATGACTTGTCATCTTGAGCTTGTCCAACAGAAAGATTTGTTTTGATTTTAGTTCTTCTTTTTTGATGACTTCCAATTTCTTTGTAGTTTGTGGTTTTAAAGCACACATTACTAATCTCCAAATGCCACAGACTTTTTTCCTTTCCTATATTGCATCTGTTGGATGAAATATGATTTAATGTTACTGTAGCAATAATAATTCTAATATTTGCATAGCACTTGGAGCTAAGCATCTCTTTATCTCTTATATAATCTCCTATTCATATTAACTCTGCATGGTACATAAGGCAAAGAAAATTGTCTTCACAATTTAGATGAGGAAACCAAGCTCCAGAGAAGCTGAGATTTGTCTGAAATTAAAAGCAGGTTCTGGAATTCGGTGTTAATATTACCTTTGCAAGATTATTTTTTACTATGTAAGGAACAGTTGGTTCTTAAGCTTGTTCGGATCCTGGAATTCTTTAAATCTCTGATGAATGTGATGGTGTCTCCCTCCATGTAACAGCAGAAATAAAAATATCTACACAGATTTGTCCACTGTTCATCCTACCTTCCGAACTCAGCTAGTAAAGTGAACTTCAGTTTAGTAGTCCTGCTATGGATGACACTGCAATTCGCCTAACAAGACAACCTGGTTTTGCTGGTTTATGACGCTGTTATAGCTGTAAGTGTGAACACCCAAGGCAAACCCTTCTCTCAGCAATGTACTCTGATAATTTTCACCGCAGATCGAGTAATTCATTCAAACTGTGTTACATGAAAAATGAATCATCTACAAATGTTAACATCTTTAAGAGAAAAGAATATTGTGTTCAAAGAAGTTTAGGGAGTGCTGCATATCATAGTCTCCTCATGGAGGTTCACTTTAGCATATGAAAGACTCTAGAAGTCCTGCACTGACAAAAACTGTGTAACTCTTTTTGACCCAGCTTCTCCCCATATCATCAAACTACATAGCCATGTACCCGCTCCTATTTGTGGTATTCTTATTAGCATCACCTAGAATACAATTTTGGAAATGGTGACCACTTTCATTCAATCTTGTGATCCTTAACATCTGCCATTCTTCTTGGAAACTACTGACAATGTTGTGGTTGCATCACCATTTGAGACGTCTGGAACTGCTAGGTCTTTAACTGTTTCCTCTTCCTGTGTTATCACTTTCACCTAGGCCAGCTTTGAGGACTGCTGCCTTGTTCTGTCTAATTGTTTAATGTATTCAGACTGATACTGATGTGAAGCTCATTCTTCTGCTTTTTGTTCTAACAACTTTTGAAGATAACAGATAGGGATCAAGGGTACCCTTTGTAGTAGTTGCCTCCTTTTTCACTCTCAGCAATTTTTAATCCCACCCTCCCCCTTTTTTTTTTCAGAGGGAGTCTTGCTCTGTCGCCCAGGCTGGAGTGCAGTGGCATGATCTCAGCTCACTGCAATCTCCACCTCCCAGATTCAAGCGATTCTCCTGTCTCAGCCTCCAGAGTAGCTGGGATTACAGGCGCGTGCCACCTCACCTGGCCAATTTTTGATTTTTTGTAGAGATGGGGTTTCACCATATTGGTCAGGCTGGTCTCAAACCCCTTTTTTCTTAAAACCGTGGTATTCACTATTTCAGTGACGATTGAATAGAGATTATCCTGCTAGAATATTCCCACATTCCATCATCAGGCAGGTTTGAGAGGAAGAAGTGGCTCTGTGACCAAGAGCCAGCCCTAGGTCAAGTCCGAGGTCCACTGTGTACTGAACCAGCTTCTTGAGCATGCCAGTCCACTAAGCTTCATCTGTAAAATGTGGGTAATAATGGTGCCTACCTCATAGATGCCATTGACCTGAGGCAGTGACTACATATCATGGAATTAGAAGAGGGCTTGGTTGATAATAACTGAGTGTTATAACTATTGAATACCAATTTGATCCTCATGACTTACTGGCCTTGCTACACAGCAAGCACCCAAATGTTAGCTATTGCTATCATCACTATTACTCTTCCAATAATTCTGTTGATTTTAATTGTCTTTTTTTTTTTTTTTTT